GGGCCCCTAAAGAATATGAATCTCTCAAAGACATCTCCAAGCATCTAGCCCTCTTTACACACTCAATGAGTATGTGAAAGAATAAATAAAATCACTAGAGGAGATATAAGCTAAGGGGTTAGGAAAGACTGTCAGTAGCCCCACTTCTTCGCTAAGAGCCTAGTAAGAGTCCAAGCTGCAGAAGAAGCCACTTAACAATTAGATTAGATCTGTCGGATAGCTAATCAGTCCTCAGCTAAGCAGTGAGGTCTGTGTGACACAGCTGACGAGGGTGTGCCTGGGTATGTAGGTAATGCGGAATACAATACAACCGCATGTGGTAGAAGAATGAAAGGTGAGGAAAGATTCGTTTGGAATTTTAGAAGAATTAAAGAGGTAAGAGCTTCCCAGGATACCTGTGCAGTTTATAAGATAAAGAGAACATAGGGAAGCATCTACTAGTAAATATGAAAAAAAAAAAATTACTACACAGCTTCCTCAGCTAAGATTATTTTTGAAAGTTGCAAAAAATAGCTCTAGCTGGTTTGACTCAGTAGATAAAGTGTTGATCTGCAGACTGAAGGGTCCCATGTTCGATTACTGATCAGGGCATATGCCTGGGTTTTGGGCTCTATCCCCAGTGGGGGGCATGCAGGAGGCAGCTGGTCCATGATTCTTTCTTGTCATTTATGTTTCTATGTCTCTCTTACTCTTTGAAATCAATTTTAAAAATTTTAAATAAAAGAAAGTTATAGAAAATAATGCTTAATAGAATGTTTTGGAAAAGTGGCACACAGGCAACACCCTGTTCTTCAGAACAGTATGGCGGGCTGTGAGGGAAAGGATAAGAGGGTCAGTGAAAACAGAGAATGGACCACAGAAGGGTTTAGTACACGGTTAAAGGTGACTGTTCTAAAATCAAGGTAGCAAGGCAGGGAAACACTTTTTACCCCAACCTTTCCTGTCTGTCTTTCAGTCAAGAAAATCCAACACTAAGAAACAAAAATCCTACTTTGCATTTTTTTTTTCATCTTCAAACCCATCTAATAAAGCAGAGAATCCCAAGGTGAAACTGACAAAGACAGGTCCAGTTGTGAGCAAAGGCTGATGAAACATTAGTGCTCAACTGTCAGACAAAACCATCACCAACAAAAACCAGCAACATAGAAGTACACTTGCCCACCAGTTCCTAACTACCTCAAATGCTAACGAGTTCAGAAAGAATTATTCCTGTCTGAATATGGTTTTGAGGAAACAGAATAAAATATCAGTCATAAGATGAACAGCTGGGAGGAGGAAAGCCAATATGAAAAACAACAGCTGAAAAGGTTCACACACACACACACACACACACACACACACACACACAGATAATCTTGTTTCATATATTAAAATTAGGAGACTTTTATAAAATATTGGTTACAAAAAGCTAATAAAAATGAAATGTAGCCAAAACCGGTTTGCTCAGTGGATAGAGCATCGGTCTGCGGACTGGGGGGTCCCAGATTCGATTAGAGTCAAGGGCATGTACCTTGGTTGTGGGCACATCCCCAGTAGGGGGTATGCAGGAGGCAGCTGGTCGATGTTTTTCTCTCATCGATGTTTCTAGCTCTCTATCCCTCTCCCTTCCTCTCTGTAAAAAATCAATAAAATATATATTTTTTTAAATGAAATGTAACACTTTCAAAGGATCAAATATCAACCTTATCTTTGCACTTGTGTTCTATGAGGTAATTTCATAAATTACACATCACAATGGCAAAACTTCCCTAACTGATAAGATTATTATTGAAACTTTGAAATTCTCTTTACCAGTTTTTTGCCTTTTAACAAATGGAATTCTTTTGGCTTACAGTTATCTGCTTCAGCTTCTATCTAAGGCTTTGCATTTTGATACGGGGGAAAAAACTGATAAGGATGAGCATGAGTTTAGATAAAAATTAGTACATTTTTGGTGCTAAGATGCAAAATGTAAACGTGATCATGTTTGACAAAAAATTTGTGATCTATTTCATATCAACTCATATGACAAGGGTTAGGCTCTTAAGTTTTTTCTCAGAACTTGAAAAGGTAAAAAAGCAAATAACTAAGCAGTGGTTTTAATATAATTTTAGATAGTTCACAGTTTCATGAAATCTTAGCCAATAAAAAAAGTAAAATGGAAACATTCAAATGAAATTATTATCCAAAATTCAGTTCAATCATTTTGTAAAAAGTATGTCTCCTACATAATTCAGAAATTTTACTCATATATTTCCAACTTAGAGAAATTAAAATACATGTACAAAGATCTGTATGCAAGTATTCATAGCAGTATTATTATAACAGTCAAAAGTTAGTAATAATCCAAATGTCCCTCAACTGATGAGTAGATGAATAAAAGATGGCATATTCATTCAAGAGAATACCATTTAGCAAGAAGGAGGAAGGAGGTATAGATATACAGTGTTATGGAAGAACTTAAAAAAAATATTATGGTTAGTAAAAAAAGCCAAATGCAAAAAGATCACGTCTTATATGATACCAGTTACATGGAATATTGAAAAAAGTAAAATCTGTAGAGACAGAAAGCAGATTCACATTTGCCTGGGGATGAAAGGGAGAAAGGAGAGTGAGTACAAATAGGACAAGGAATCCTTTTGATATGTAAGAAATGTTCCAAAATTGGAACCTAAAACAAGACTTGATAAATATAGTAAAAATCACTTCATTGTACACTTAACATGAGTGATGTTTATAATCTGCCAATTATATTTCAATAGAGCTATTTAAAAAAAAAAAAAAGTCCCGGAAGGTGCAAGATATAACTTACACAGACTGTAAGTGTACAACTCAGTGACTTCTAACGTATGTACACACCATGTAACCAGCACCCAGATCAAATTAGAACAGTTTTAGCACTCATGACAGTTTCCTTGTACCCTTTTCTCTTTGTAATGTACCATCCCTTCCACAAGAGTAGGTATCACTAATTTGCTCTCTATCATCTTAATTCATTTTGTCTATATTGAAACTTCAGTGTTTCTTTTGCTCAACATAATACCTGTGAGATTCATCCAAGTTGATGCTAATATCCGTAGTTCATTGTTTGTTTGTTGTTGATTTTTTTTTTTTTTTTTTTTTTTTTTTTGCTGTGGAGTATTTGCTGTATAAATATACCATCATTTGCTTATAAATTCTTTTGTGAAAGAATATTTAGGTTGTTTCCAGCTTGGGGGTATTATGAATAAAGTTGCTATGAACATTTATTTTAGATGTCTGTTGACAGACATATGCACTCATTTTTCTAGAGTACATAGCTAGAACTAGAAATGCTGAATCAAAGAGTAAGCAAATGTTCAGCTTGGATAGAAATTGCCATAACATTTCCCAAAGTGGTTAAACAAATTTCCACTCCTACTAACAATGTCTACAAGTTTCAAAAAAAAGTTTCAGCTGTCCTACCTCCTCACCAACAGTTGGTAGTGTCAATCTTTTTAATTTTAGCCCTTGTGCTAAAATTACCGTGAGAAGAGGTATCCCTGCATGGCTTTAATTTGCATTTTCTTGATTAAGAATGGAATTGAGCAGACTTTCCTATACTTTCTGTCCATTTGGATATCTTCTTTGATGAAGTGCCTATTTGAAGCTTTTGTCCATTTTTTGATAGGTTATCAGTCTTTTTCTTATTGCTTTTAGAAGTTCTTTATTGTAAAATATACAAATCTTTTATCAGGTATATATCTATCTTAATGGTGCTATTGATATACAAATGTCCATGTTAATAAAGTCCAATTTATCATTATTTCCTTTCACAACTACAGTTTTTGTGTCCTGTTTAAGAAATCTTTCCCTATGCCAAGATAATGAAATATTCTCTTATGTTTTCTCCTAACTTAGAAAAGCCTTATTGTACTACTTTTCACAGTGAATTCTTTATTCACTGATCAAATTACCTTTTGTCCAGTGTGTCACAGTTCATTTATTTTCCCCTAACGATACCCACCATCTATAGCACTGTTCACGGATAAGACTATCCCTTCCCACAAGATTGCAATGGTATCGTGTCCTTAAGTCAGGTGACTGTATTATACATGAGTCTGTTTCTTGACTCAATTATGTCCCATTGTTCCATTTTATCCTTGGGAAATGCTACTGTTTTAATTACTCAAACATTATAGTAATCTTGAGCTGGGAAACATTTTTTTTTAATTTCCTTATTAATTAAGGTATTACATATATGTTCTTATTCCCCAATTGCCTCCCTGGTGTCTGTGTCCATTGGTTAGGCTTATGTGCATGCATACATGTCCTTTGGTTGATCTCTTCCCCTTACCCCCACACCCTTCTACCTTCCCTGAGGTATGACGTTCTAATCGATGCTTCTCTATATTTGGATCTGGTTTTGTTCATCAGTTTATGTTGTTCATTATATTCCATAAATGAGTGAGATCATGTGATATTTATCTTTCTCTGCCTGGCTTATTTCACTTAGCATAAGCTCCATCCATGTTGTTGTAAATGGTAAGAACTCCTTTTTTACTGCAGCATAGAATTCCATTGTGTAGATGTACCACAGTTTTTAATCCACTCATCTGCTGATGGGCACTTAGGCTGTTTCCAAATCTTAGCTATGAACATAGGGGTACATATATCCTTTCTGATTTGTGTTTCTAATTTCTTTGGATATATTCCTAGAAGCGGAATTACTGGATCAAGTGGGAGTTTCATTTTTAGTTTTTTGAGGAAACTTCATATTGTTCTCCACTGTGGCTACACCAGCCTGCAATCCCAGCTGGGAAACATTTTAATGCATACATTTTTGTTGAACTTTCTGAGCTATTCTTGTAAAAGAGACAAATGCCAAAAATTAACTATTTCAAGTCCTACATGTCATTATACATCTATTTTGAAGAAGATGAACTCCTTAATCAGTAAAAATTAAAAATAATTTTCACCATATACCAGGAGGTTTACAAAACTTACATGATCTCTTATGTTAACTGCAGGAACCTTTTGAACTCCGGATGAGAATGCCTTACCTGGGTAAGGTAAATGGTATCTTTGAATTCACGTAATGGATCTGTGTTGAATGGGAGTTTGAAATGAAGTCCAGCCTGAAAAAGCATTTGATGGTTACCATTTTCATGATGCTGTCGATGACTTGAAAAGCTGCTGTTGTAAGACCAGTCCACTTCAGATGAAACCTTTTGAGAAAAGAATAAGAAATTGGGAAATTAGGAGTACTTTTCTACACATTTCTGATAAACTCTATGCACTGGAATAATATCACAGATGTAGAATAATGTCTACATTTGTTAGTGGTGAAAGAGCAGCCCTGTACAAAATTGAATCACAAAACCAGGATTTCGCACCTATACCCTTCCTTATTCAGACCTAGGATATTACAATGTGATATTTCCACTGAAGATTTTATCAAAATATTATTCCTTTTATAAACATTAGTTATGTGTATTTTTATCTAAAAAATTAATCCTAACATGAGGATATGTTTTTATTGATTTTAGAGATTTTTTTTGGGGGGGGGGGGGAGTATTATCAGTGTTGAGTATCTTTGAACATCCATGTGAGAGTGAACATCGATTGGTTGTCTCCCGCACACACCCTAAATAGGGACAAACCCGCGACCTGGGTTATGTGTCCTGACAGAGAATCAAACACACAACCTTTCAGTGTATGGGATGATGCTCCAACTGAGTCACACTGGCCACAGCTAGTTTTAAAATGTCATTTTATCTATTTAAGTAAGTAAATTGTCAAAACTGAATAATGAACTGAAATCAACATTTTGTTAACTGTCAATTCTTTAACAGGAATGAAATATCACTCATTAAGATGGCAAATGCTTTAATACTTGCTCATCTGTTTCTCAGTGATTAATAAACGTATTTGAAATGTTAAATTTCTATATAGTTGAAGACACAAACCAAAAGGTGATACTCCTTTCCCCTAAAATAAATCTTTTTTTTAAAAGGACAGACACAGCTTACAGTATCTTTCCCTTCAATAAGCTATTATCAGGTCAAAGTAAAACAAAACAGCAACAAAAAAACAAACAAACAAACATGTTAATAGTGTCTTTTTGCAAAAAAGCACAAGCAAAAATTCTGGCTTCTAGGCCTATGAATATACTATTAGCATTTAATGTATTATTAGCATTTGATAAAAGATATAAGATAATTGCTGATACACCTGAAAATATCAGAGTTTTAATCTGAGTGACACAGAGTTTGAAAAAAAATATTCCACCCATCCTTAAAAAACCCTACAAATTAACAAGTTTAATCCCTGTTCATAAAATATGATTTATCACCCTGGCCGGTGTTGCTCAGTGGTTGCGTGTGAACCCATGAACCTGAAGATCACAGCTCAAATCCCAATCAGAGCACATGCCCAGGTCAAAGGCTCAATCCCCAATGGGATGCGTGCAGGAGGCAGCTAACCAATGTTCTCTCTCATCATTGATGGTTCTATCTTTGTCTCTCGTCCTTCTTTTCCCTGAAATCAATAAAAAAAAAACAAAACATTTTACAAAGACAGCAATTTAAAAATCACTTTTAAGTAAAATATGACTTATAATACCCAGTAATCATGCATTGCTCAGACCAATCACCTTAAAAGGAAAAAGTTATTCTTTAGGCATTTATTTATACCAAACATAAAGTAATGTACATTAGCCATATTTAATGTGGAAGTTTTTCCAAATTTTATACAGTTTAGAGACAACTTAGAGAACATGAATTAACTGTTATTTATTTAAAATAGAAATATTAGTATTATAGTCATCTGTATACATCTGAGATGCACATATCAATAATATTATTTTTTAATGTTTCTTCCTTTTTAAAGTCTGAAACACACCTCTGGGCCTCTCAACCCTCTCTCTAATTGGTAATGATCTGAATGTATCCCATAATCAGTAACCCTATTCTGTTATGTGGAAAACTTCCCACCTTCTGATAGTTGTGTTTTGGAAGTCTTGTATCTTTCATCTATAACAATGTTACCAGGAAGAATTAGAAAGTGCTAGGTAAGGTTCTAATTGCTTTTAGGAATATTAACTCATTAATCCTCATAACAACCATACTAGTAGACACTATTATCACCCTATTTAACAGATGAGAAAATCAAGCACAGAAAGGTTAAATAATTTGCCCAAGATCTAATGCTAATTTGTACAGTCTAGTTCCAGCCTCTAGTTTTTTAAACCTAGATGCATCTGAAGAAAATAAAACAATCATATGGCCAGACTGGCCATGATGAATAGCAACAATAGCTTACATTTTATGGGCTCTCACTATGTGGCAAGAACTAAGGCTTCAGAGAGATCCAAGATGGCGGCATAAGTAAACATCTAAACTGCTGCCGTGCACAACAATTTCAAAACTACAACTAAAAGACAAAACGTCTATCACCCAGAACCACAGAAAGCTGGCTGAGTGGAAGTTTCTACAACTAGACAGAAAAAGAAAAGAGCATTCAGGGCACAAGCGCTGAAAAACTGAGGTACAGGGGTGTGCACGCGACATGGGCTGGCAGTGGATCCCAGCTGGTGGCGGGCGTTGCTTTCTTCAACCCAAAGAGAGACAAGCTCCCAATCTCTCTGAAATCCAGTTTCTGGGGAGAAGCTGGACTGTCTGCCATCAGGTCAAAAAGTGAGGGTGGCAAGAAATATTCAAACTGATGAACAGCAAGAACCTACAACCAAGATTACTCTACCCAGCAAAGCTATCATTCAGAACTAAAGGTCAGATAAAGAGCTTCACAGACAAGAAAAAGCTAAAATTGAATCTATCTGTGAAACTGAATCATTAGGAACAGAGAAAGTGAAATGCCATACAAAAAATCAAATACACCAACATGAAGAAAAAGGAGGAGGAAGAAGAGTGGGAAGTGAAAGTGGAGAAAAAAGAAGTGAATGACCTGATGGGATAACATTAGGCAAAGACTTATTTATCACATTCATTTTTCATACTGTGATAAACTTTTCAGTTCTGAATATCTATTAAAAAAATTTTAAGTTGTATGATATACAGAAAGTAGCAAGTGGGAGTTATTTTCATATGTAATAATAAATCTGGCTTAAGCATCCACTGGCTCCCCTTTTATAATTAAAAGCAATATAGAAAAGCTATCCCCAAAATGATGACTATAAGAGTTTAGCTCCCCAAAGGTTAAAGAAAAAAAAAGTTATCTTCTTCCTAAAATGTGATTTAAAATAAGAAGTAGATTTCATTTTGTTTTCTGAAGCACTGTTGAGCAAGTAACATATGCCCTACCCTCCCCCCTCCCCCCATCATTTCGAACCACTGGGAAATCAAAGATGGCTTACCTTTTCTAATGTACTGAACGAAGGCCAGGACTGATATCCATATTCAGATGCAAATCGAGCTTTTGGGAAAATGTTCCAATCCCAGCAATCACTGGTATAGTCATAAAAATGTACATCCCCAAAATGATTGTTATATGGGTCAGTAGAGAGCCAGCCTTCTTCAATGGATTTGATCCCATTTGTAGGACTGGATGTGATAAAAGGACGAGTCTTGTCTGCCTGAGTTCAGATACAAAATGGTTTGAAGGATAAGGTATAATTTACTTCTTCAAATATACTATCAAGACCCAGAAATGCCAAGCAGCCGATAGCAATGTAATTGAACCACTTACCTTCTTCCACATTAAACAGCCACCAGCACCTCTCTACTGTTTGCCAATCCTTTCTGTCTATATGTATAAAAGCCTAAGCAACTAGTCTGACCACCAGAAGGCAGACGCTCAAAACAGGAGCTGCCCCCTCGTGGTCAGTGCGCTCCCACAGTGGGAGCACTACTGCTCAGCTGACGGGGATGAGCGGGAGCGGCTGTCCCCTGATCCCCACAAGCCATGCCGAGGGCCTCTAGTCCTTTCGTAACTGACACTTAGCTTGTTCCTCGCAGCAGCTGTTCTTAATCTTTTTCTATCACGTCTTCCTCAACTCTACCTTCTCCCATGATGGGTAATATACAGGCTAGTGCAGAGAATCTCAACCTTGGCACTAATGGCATCTGATTAAGTGTGTGTGTGTGTGTGTGTGTGTGTGTGTGTGTGTGTGTATGTGTGTGTGTTGGGGTGTCCTATGCATTCTAGGATGTTTAGTAGCATTCCAGGCTTCTACCCACTAGATGCCAGTAGTGCCCCCTTCCCCCACCACCATCAACACACACACACACACACACACACACACACACACACACACACACACCGTATTTTCTGGCGTATAAGATGACTTTTGAAACGAAAAAAAGTCAACCGAAAATCGGGAGCAAAAGACCAAAATTGCACAAAAATTGCCTGCAGATCTTGACGGCAAAGTAAGTCTTTTCTTTGAAGTGGGGGGGTAGTCTCATACAGCAAATATAGGCCTAAACCTATGTTTTAACTGTAAAATTAGGGGGTCGTCTTATACGCAGGAAAATACGGTGTGTGTGTGTGTGTGTGTGTATAGACATTGCCAAATGCCCCCTGTCCCTTGGAGTCAAAAATCACCTCCTCTTGAGAAACACTGGTCTAGTGGTTAAGAACAGAGGCTACTGAGTCAGGTGGGACCAAAATTTAAATCCTAAATCAGAACCCTATTAGTTTGGGATAGGCGTAAGCCTCAGTAGCCTATCTGTAAAATGGGGAAAACAGTGCCTCCTTCATAGGGCTATTGCGAATGGTAAGGAACTTATGTGTGGAAGAGGTAGCTAAGTATCCACCAAAACTCATGCTCCCATTTCCAAAATATATAGAGTTGTCCCTAGGAAGGGGCTTCCTAGCTTCTGCACCTCTGTGGACAAAGGCACCTTATTCCCATCCTCTTCCCCCAGGTTCAGGGCCTAGGAGATGGCAGAGCTAGAAGGTGGAAAGGGCCTGTGTCTCGGAAAGGAGGGAGGCTGGCTGTCCATCGGGAGCAGCCAGTAGTAGAGTTAGTGAGTAAGAAATGTTTATTATGCAAACCAGTGCAACCCTGCCAACAGCCTGCAGATACATACTTAGTGTAGTGCCCAGCACACAGGGGGAACACAAAAGGTTTTGGTTATTATCACCTCAACAGATGAACTCACTTCCCATTGTGCTGAGAAGAATCGTTCATTTAGCAAATATGTATCAAGTGTTGATTGAGAGGTGGGCATTTTTTCAGCACTGCAAAAATAGAGAAAACCTGTGACGCTGTCCAGTATCCATACATCAAATCTCTGGAGCACTGGCTATGGACCAGACATGCAGCTCTTTCTATATATAGAAACGTCAGCAGGGAACAGGACAGGCATCTGGCTGACCTCTTAAAAGAATAAATTGAAATCTAGTGATGAAACCAGATGTTGAACAAGTGTGGGGTAAGAGTGATGAATGATTTGAAGGAAAAGTACAGGGCCTTTGAAAACAAAACGTATTTCAGAAGGTCACTGAGGCCTCCCTGAGAAATAGATTATCAGAAAATAGTTTTTTCTGTTAAGTTTCCCATTTTTTGATATATCCATTTTTGTTTCTCTTCTGTCATAGAAAAAAAAAAACAAAAAAAAAAACACTCATTTCTTTTCTTTACCAGCCTTTCTGTCTGTGTTCTGGCCATCTCTTTATTTCACTCTGGAACTATAGCCAATCAACTAACCTCCAGTCTTTAAAGAAATCTCTCTCTATTGCCCCATTCCTTCAGCCTAAGGACTCCTCTCATCCTGATCAACAGTCCAGCAGATTTCTTTACACCCACTCACTCCTCAGCCCCTAAGTTCTCAATCATTCCACTTGGTTAAAATTGTTCTTGGTTTTTAGTTTGGTTTTTCAAAAACTATCCATGGACTTCTACTTACAAAACAAAGCAAAAATCCCACACTCTTCGCTCTCTGGTGTGCAATAAATGACTATTACCACCCACTGCTTCTGACGTGCTCGCCACCCTAGGGCTCATTCACTACTCTTTCTCCTTAGACCTCTCTGATTCTTCTTTCCCTGGCCGCCCTCTCCTTCTCCCAGGACAGAGCTCTCTCTTAAGCCTCTCCTTGTCAGTCCCCTCTCCCAAGGCATTCCCTTTCACCAAATGTTCCCATCACTCCCGGGCTACTTCACCTCCACACTCTACTCCCAGGAGCCATCTCCGCACTTCCACCTGGCTTGTCTGGCCAACATTTCAAATCCAACCATTCAAAGCAGAAGTCCTTATTTATTCATCACAAAATTATTTGTGCTTCCTCCCTTCATTAAGGGACCCAAGTAAAAGTCATCTTCAATGTCTCCCCCTCTCTATTTTATCTCCTCGCCACTCTGCATTCAGTCATTCTGAATTCAAATATTTTTTTTCCACCACCTCATTTCCAGCCCTACTCCATTGGACTCTCTTACCTACATTTAGTGGCCAGATTATTATGATCTCTGAATGCATAATCTGGCCACTGTGTGTGTGTGTGCGTGTGTGTGTGTGTGTGTGTGTGTGTGTGTATACACACCTTAGAGGCCCAGTGCATGAATTTGTGAATGGGAGGGAACATGGGTGGTTGGCTGCCTGCCTGCTGGTCCAACTCCTGGTCGAGGGGACAATCTCCATAGTAGCCTTTTATTATATAGGATATACACTAAGTGGCCAGATTATTATGCATTCAGAGATCATAATAATCTGGCCACTCAGTGCATACCCAATATGACCATGAGTAATTAATCTTTGTAACCCTCCAATGCCTTCCTCTCTAAAACAAAGATTATATTACTTACATTCCAGGGTAGTTACAAATGTTAAATAAATAAATTCTATAAACCACTTATATCATTACTATATAATAATAATATTAATGAATATAATAATCATAATATATCAATGTCTGGCAGTTATTATTCCCAATAACTTGATATTTCTGTTTTTTTATAACTGGTTTCTTAACCTCGAATCTCTCACCTCTCTAATTCTTTGCTAGTAAAGCTACCTTCCAGAATGGATCCCTCTATTAAAATATCCACTAGCTTTCTATTGTCTAATGAATAAAGCCCAACTCCATAACATTCAAAATCCTTTAAGATTTGTTTCCAAACAGCCTAGGTGTCCGTCAGCAGATGATTGGATCCAAAAACTTTGGTACATCTACACAATGGAATACTATGCTGCCATAAAAAAGAAGGAATTCTCATCATTTGCAGCAACCTGGATGGAATTGGAGAACATCATGCTGAGTGAAATAAGCCAATCAATGAAAGAGAAATACCACATGACCTCACTCATTGGTGGACAATAAAGCTCTTTATGAACTGATGAACCAAGAGACAGAGATAGAGAAAGTAAAGCAACAGGCAGACTGTCAAATTACAGTGGGGAGGGGAGGAAGATCTGGGGGAAATAATTGATCAAACGAAGGACTTGTATACATGCATATAAGTACAACCAATGTTCATAAAACTCTGGGGAGGGAGGGGATGGGTGGGAGGGAGGGAGAGGGGTTAAAAAAAAAAAAAAAAAAAAAAAGATTTGTTTCCAGCCCTACTTGTGTGGCTCGGTGGTTGGGCATCGACCTATGAACCAGAAGGTCACTGTTCAGGGTATATGCCTAAGTTGCAGACTCAATCTCCTGTATGGGGTGTGCAGGAGGCAGCCAATCAATGATTCTCTCTCATCACTGATACTTGTCTTTCTTTCTCCCTCTCCCTTCCTCTCTGAAATAAATAAAAATATATATATTTTAAAAGATTTGTTTCGAAGCTGACTTTTCTATGTTTAACTTCCCAAGTTAGGAATCCTTTGCTTCAAGCACTGGGTACTGCTTGCTGCTTCCTAGATCTTTTTGCTTCTAGTCATATTGTTTTATTGGCCTAAAACACCTACTGAACAATACTTTGCCTCACAAACTACTCCACCTTTAAGGGTTGTTTTGAATGTCATCTTTTACTTAAAAGCCTTCCTAGATCTTTCCATTTAAAATTATGGTCTTAAAAAAAAAATCCTATTAATAAAAGGATAATATGCAAATTGACCCTGATAATATGGCAGAATGACCAGGAACGACTGGTGCTATGAAGCGCACTGATCACCAGGGGGCAGATGCTCAAAGCAGGAGCTGCTCCCTGGTATCAGTGTGCTCCCACATGGAGAGCTCTGCTCAGCCACAAGCTGGCTGACCGCTGCTAGTGCAGCAGTGGTGGCAGGAGCTTCCCCTGCCTCCTTGGCAGTGCTAAGGATATCCAATCGCAGGCTCCCGGGCCACCAGCAGATGTCTGACTGCCAGCTTAGGCCCGATTCCCCAGGGCGCAGGCCTAAACCGGCAGATGACATCCCCTGCAGGTTCCCAGGCTGCAAGAGGGCACAGGCTGGGCTGAGGGACCACCCCCAAAGTGCATGAATTTTCATGCACCTGGCCTCTAGTAAAAAAATAAATGATGGTCTTCCACATAGTTCCCACCATGCTCGCAGTACATTTTTTATAATAGTACTTCTTTCACTCTGCCCTGTAATTCTTTCCATGTGTCCCCTGAGCACAGACTGGAAGTCCAGGAGGGAAAGTTTTCCCACAATATTGGGAAGGAGGCTTCACTCTTCATAACAGGTACACAGCAGGGGGTGGTTGAATTTAAAACATAAAAACACATGGTGAGATTGTAGGTACTCTTGAATTTTAAACAATATTCTGTTATAATGGCTTCGAAGTAAAATTGGAGAAGGCCAATCAGTTGGCCTTAATCAATCAAGCTTAACTGATCCCCCACCCCATTCCTCCAGATTCTTGAAAATTTGGTAAGATGAGTCATTCAGTAAAATCACTAATGAGTCTCTCCCTAAAAATATCTGCCCGTATGATGCACTATGATTTCTTTCCATTTTTGTATAAATTAATCTTAAGGACTGATTTTTTACTCTATCAAATGGCCCCTCTCAAGATCATGACCATAAATGCTTATCCAGACCAAGAGATACCATAAGATAAACCAAGGGAATGACTATTTTTTAAGTATGATGTACAAGAAGAGGAAGCTAATGATTACAATTAGTGTGTGGATAGATCAAACATGGTCCTTTTCCTTAAATGCCTAGTGCTTTCACAAAAATCACAGTAATGATTAGATAGCACTTACGCCTGTCCATATTCAAATAAATATTTAAGTTCAAGGATGCAGTGTTAATATTAGATATTAAAGTCTATAACTATCTGAAGACCTAGCATGCTTAGTAAAACAAACCAAAAATGAGAATGATGACTAGCATGAATTAAAGTCTACTATGTGCCCGAGTCTGTGTAATGCACTTTCCATTCATTAACTCACTTAATCCACATAGCAACTCTTAGTAGTTAGTGCCTATTGTTAACCCAATTTTATAAATAGGAAAGTGGAGATTCAGTAACTTGCCCAACATTACATAGACATGTAGTGGCCCAGCAAGGACTTGAAATCATGACCACTTAATAATTAAGCTATGGAATGAAAATCATTAGATATAAAAATATATTTCTTAAATCCATCAGCTATGAAAAACATAATACTAATACTGTGAGTTAAAAAGACTATAAAATAAATGTTCTATATATTAAACCTTAAACCACCACACTTTGTGAATAGAAAAATTCTTCCTGCATATCAGGAAAGCTAAAAATTTAAGCCTATGTTTTTCAGGTAATCCCACTGAAGTTTCTTCACATAAATAGAATAGTGCCATCAACTGGGCATATTTGGGTACCATAATCATATAGTATTCTTTTAAATATATCCTGAATAGAACTGCTTCAGGATATAGGCAAATACTTAAACTACCTAATTACAATTAAAACTGTAAATACAATCAGATTATTAAATCACATGATAAATATTGAAGTTTCTAAAAAGTCAAAATTTTAAGGCACTATTTCAAAAACAAATAAATAGGCTGTTTCTTCTACCTGCAAAAAAAAAGAAAGGCCAATTTGTATTAAGATTTAATATATATGCAATTAGTGTGTGGAACGATCAATAATATCTATTTGTGTAAATACAAGTATGCGATTCCTGTCAAACAAAGAGTGTTGTAAGAGAACCACCCTAAGTGGAGCTGGGAACCAGCTCTTTCCTCTACATCTATCTGCACCTTATATCATACACCAACATATTTATATGTTATATTACACAGATAGCAAATTCTACCTTAGCATTTACTTACTTCCAAAACAAGCTCTCGGATGTTTTCAACATACAGTTTCACATAATCTTTCATATAAGTAGGGAGGTATGTGAAGTCTATGCTATACCAATTCATCATTAGCGCCGCTTCATTTTCATTGTTTCCACCCCATATGATGATGGAGGGATGAGATTTCAGTCTCCTGATCTAAAATGTAAGAAAACATAAAACAAATTTCAAATGCTCAACATTAAAAGAAAAATTCAGAGCTATAATAAATATATAATTATAGCCATTGAATTTCTGCACATAAATTAAAAACATATATATTTTTTTTCTTTTCTTTTTTTCAGAGAGGAAGGAAGATGGAGAGATAGAAATACCAACAATGGGAGATAATCACTGAGTGGCTGCCTCCCGCATGCCTCACATTGGGGATTGAGCCCACAACGTTGGTATGTGCCCTACCAGGAATCAAAACATGACCTCTTGGTTCATAGATTAAAGCTTACCCACTGAGGCAGGCCGGCCAGCTTTGCACATAAATTTTGTCATGCCAAAAAGCCCATTAGAAAATGGCTATAACTTTACCTGTGGGAATACATTTTTTAAAATCTCTGAGATTCTTTTTATCTAGATTTTCTAAATACTGATAAGCTAAGGCCTCTCTTCTCTGCTGTTCAAACCTGAAGAAAATATAATTTCTTCTATTAAACGTGACAAATAAATCAAGCTCAGCATTAGCTGACTCGGCCACATCAAGGTTCTAATAAGTGCAGAATGCAGGAGATGTTACATTAAATGACAGGGTTAGTCATCTCAAGAACAAGTGGGAGCTTTGAGTGAAGATACAAATAAGGCAGAACTTAGGCTGGAAGAGGTATTGAGGTTCCCATCCACCAAAACCTTATTTTGTAATAAAGCACAGGTAAAGAACATAAATTATAGCTTAGTAAACTATTATAAGGCAATCAATCTATTGCCTTATAACTACCACCCAGACCAGAAAGAAAACTGTACCAACCACCTTCCCAATGTAGTCTTGTCCTCCTTCCAAAATAGCCACTATCTTGAGTGTAAGAGTAATCATCTCAATGCTTTTGTTTTGCTTTTCCATGCAAATACACGAGTTTATAATTTATAATTATAAACTCGTGTATTTCAACACAATTGGTGGATTTCAACCCACTGACATTCTTATCCTTATTGAAACTCAAATTGTCCCACCAAATTGGTCAGAATCCCTCCAAAGTCCTTTTGGCATATCTTTGATAGCCTCCTTGTTATCTGTGTGTCAAAATCTTTCAGGATAACCCAGCATATTTCCTGTACCACACCTGAAATCAGCCATTTCCCTAAGAAGACCTTCTATTAATGGGAAATATTATTTCAATATAAGGAGTCTCAATATTACTATGCTATTCTTTGTTTCTATGCCTCTTCAGGGGATGGAGCTAGAATATAGTCACTTTCTTGTATTTACAGATGTATATATATTTATAAATATATATACATCTGTAAATACAAGATACAGATGTATAAATATATATACATCTGTAAATACATCTGTAAATATATATATATATGTATAAATATATATATATATATATATGCCTAAGCAACCAGCCAACCAGCCAACTGGCCAGTAGATATAACGTGCACTGATCACCAGGTGACAAATGCTCAACATAGGAGCTGCTGAGCTGCAGTCACTTGGCAGTGGCAGTTCTTGGGTGACGCACCAGAACCAGAGAGTAAGGAGCCCAATTCTGGGGTGCACCACCTGAGAACCACACTCTGCAATCTGGGACCTCCCTCATGGGATGCTGGAGAGCCAGTTTCAGCCTGATCCCCAAAGGCCAGGCCAAGGCACCCAACCATTGCATGAGTCCGTGCACAGGGACTCTAGTACAAATATTAAGTGTGTGTATGTGGAACACAAAAGAAATCAAGGAGTCAAGAATCACTTTAAATTTTTGTCCTGAGAAATTCAGATTGGCGTTAACAATTACTAAAAAACTGCAGGAAAAGCAAGTTCAGGGAAGGTAACATAACTCTATTTTGGACATGTTACTTTTGGGATGTCCATAAGTGGAGGCACCAAGTTAGCAATTGGATATAAAAATCAGGAATTCAGTAGAGAAGTTGGGCCAGAGATAAATATGAGAGTGGTAATGTGGTTAAGCCATAAGACTGGGTGGAATCACCTAGGAAAACAATTACCTGATTGTGATTTTTCATGAGATTTAGTACAGAGAACAACAAAAAGAAACATGGAGTGGTTTAACAAAAGCAAAACTAAAACATAAGCTTTTTCCTTCTTCTTGAAATGGTAGTAACGTACCTGGTAAGCAACTTCTGCTCTCACTGAATTTATGAAGTCCGCATCCGTTGGATAAAGAGCACAGGCAAACATGAAATCCTGCCATACCTAGCAAATCAAATCAAATCAAAGGTGATAAAGCACTCTCATGGATTTTACCACCAAGAAATACATTCTTCACTCAGAACTGGGGGGATGATCTTTCATGCAGATGAAAAATCAAGTTCGTCTGATGAGTGTGATCATTTGAGCACTACTATGTGCGAGGCACTCAAGGTCCCTGTGACTTTTCAGAACCACACATAACCCTAGGGAAACCGGAAAAGATAAAATGCAAGGTAGGCAGGAAAGACTGAGAATTTAAGTAAGGAAAGAGTGAGTGTGTTGAGGGGGATATAAAATTCAAAATGAAGCTTCCAACCCCAGCCCCTTCTCCTCCTAACTCACTCTAATTGTCACTTAGAATTTGGTATTGAGTGATGGACCAGACTATTAAAAGCATACATTTCTCAGAGGAAAGGGAGGAGGGGGAAGGTGGGAAGATATTAACCAAAGAATGTATGCCTAGCCCATGGACACAGACAACATAGGTTGGTAAAGGCCTGGGGAGGGGCAGGAACCTGGTGGAGGGAGACAATGGGGGGAAATAAGCGGAGGAGTGGGGGGCATCTGTAATACTCTCAACAATAAAGATAAATTTAATTAAAACAGAAAAAGAAAGAAACATACATTGTTTACAAAGGAATACATTTACATGGCCAAAAGTAATTACTACATGGACATTTTAGTACTGACACCACATACGCTCATTCCTGGGGAGGCTGTTAAGCAAAGTGGTTGAGAGTAGGGCCCCAATTCAGTGAGCCTGAGTGGGAACTTTGACTCTACCATAGCCCCGCCATGTGCTGTGGGCAAGTTATTTAACCCTGCACATGTCAGTTTCCTTCTCTGTGAAATGTGGATATAGAGCAACAACCACCACCCATAGAATGGGCATGAAGATCAAGCAAAATAATAGATGCAGAGCACAGAGAACAATGCCCGGCACTCAGTGAATATTACAGAATATTGTCACATCATCATGACCATCGGCATTATCAATATTATGATAATTACTACTCTTCTATGGAGAGCTTTACATTTTAGAACTGTAATACCAGAACTAAAAAATATATTTCTTTTGTGTAACCCTCACTAATGTAAAACACATTTGGAAGTGCTAGCACACCTTTACTTTAATTTTATTATTTTTCTTCTCTCTAGGGCTGTTGGAGCTCTTTAAAGTTAAAGTTTTTAAATATCTTATTTTCTTTTTTATGCATACTCTCAAATCATAAAGAAAATGTAGATAGATAGATATTGATATAATTACTATAGAGAATGCTTATCATTCAAAAATCCTATCTAATAGAGAGTAATATGCAAATTGACCATCACTCCAAAACACAAGTTGGCCACCCCCATGTGGTCAAAGATGGCAATCCCCATGTGGACACAAGATGGCCGCGACAAGAAGGCCTGCAGGGGAGAGCAGTTTTGTGCAATTAAGGGTAACCAGGCTAGCAGAGGAGGGCAGTTCCGGCGGGGAGACCCAGGCATGCAGGGGATGGCAGTGGGTGGTGGAGGACCAGGCCAAAGGGTAGGACAGCTGGGGGAGACCAGGCCTGCAGGGGAGGGCAGTGGGGGGGGGGGAGGAACCAGGGGAGAATAGTTGGGAGGGACCAGGACTGCAGAAGAGGGCAGTTGAGGGGGACCAGGCACAGGGGAGGGCAGTTGTGGGCAATCAGGCAAGCAGCTTGCTATCAACTCTGGCTCTTAGTTCTAAAGATGCCATTTAATTTTTTGGAAAAAAAAAAAAAAAAGGAACATCATTCCTGACCCTGAGAAAAGATGGAATGAGCAATATCACCCTCGCAGAATGCTGAAAAAGTAGCATATCTATAATAACAAAAGGGTAATATGCTAATTAGACCTGACATCTTCCAGACGTCCTTCCTGACAAAGCTGGGCCTGGGAGAAGCTGCCTGTCCATGGTCCTGGGTGCCTGTGCCTGTGGCCGGTCTGGGTGAAGCCGGCCCCAGTACTGGGTTCCTGTGGCCAGCCACAGGGAGGGAAGCCTGGGTCCCAGGTGCGGGGTTGAGGCAGAGGCAGTTAGGGGTGATCAGGAAGGCAGGCAGGTGAGTGGTTAGGAGCCAGCAGTCCCAGATTTCAAGAGGCATTTCCGACATCCCCCAAGGGGTTTCAGATTGGAGGGGGTGCAGGCCAGGCTGAGGACCCCCCCCCCCATGCATGAATTTCATGCAGTGGGCCTCTAGTCCTAAATAATAAAAGGCTAATATGTTAATTGTCCTCTTTACCTGGAATTCATCAGGGAATTCGACCAGGGGGTAGAGCCAATGGGCCAACAACCCATATCCCTGACCTTAGTTGTCCCCGCTCCCTATTGGTCCCTCCCATCCTGATTATAGACGGGGCCGGCTGGCCAACCTCCCACATTCCCTCCCCCGAGCCGCCCTGGCCCCATCAGCCATGATCAAGGAGGGCCAGCCAGACCCCACCCATGCACAAATTCATGCACTGGACCTCTATTCAATAAATAAAATGCTGCCAAAACCGGTTTGGCTCATCGGTCTGCGGACTGAAGGGTCCCAGGTTCGATTCCGGTCAAGGGCATGTACATTGGTTGCAGCTGGTCGATGTTTCTCCCTCATCAACGTTTCTAACTCTCTATCTCTCTCCCTTCCTCCTCTCTGTAAAATATCAATAAAATATATTTTAAAATAATAAATAAATAAATAAATAAAATGCTGTCAACTACTCACCATTATTCCTAGTTCATCACAGAGTTTATAGAATTCATCTTGTTCATAAATACCTCCTCCCCACACCCGAAGAGTATTCATGTTAGCATCCACGACAGACTGCAAAAGGAGTGATAACCTATAGAGTAATTTGAAAAATAAATACTAATCTGAAAACGTGGGGATGCTAAAAAAGAGATTTTAAGAGACACATTGTGGGTGATGAACACATTTGAAATCTCTGCTAGAAAAACACATTTTAAAATGATGATAATTTGGCCCTAGCTGGTTTGGCTCAGTGGCTAGAGCGTCGGCCTGTGGACTGAAAGATCCCAGGTTCAATTCCAGTCAAGGGCACATGCCAGGATTGCAGGCTCGATCCCCAGTAGGGGCATGTAAGAGGTAGCCGATCAATGATTCACTCTCATCATTGATGTTTCTATCTTTCTCCCTCTCCCTTCCTCTCTAAAATCAATAAAAATTAAAAAAAGAAAAGTCTAGAAATTTATGGCATGTACCTTCCATCTCCAGAGCAATGCCCAGAAAGGAATGAAAAAGATCAGTAACAGGCTAGCCTGGGATCCAGAGCACTGACTCTGAGCAAAGGTGCCCATGGGCAGGTTTACTAATAGGCCCAGATGTGTTGAACAGCTGCCACCAAAACCAGCCAGATAGGAGAGGAGCATTTAAAAGAGAGAGACAGCTAATTATCTGGACCTATGTCTGGAGAATAATTTCATTTTCATATAAAATTCAAAACAATACATACATTTTGAAATAAAAGGAAATTACTACAAGTTTGTGCAAAATTAGAGTTTAGTTACCAACCACATCTAAAAATATAGTACAATGCATATTTAAATATTTGTAAATACATTAACAGTGTTTAGCCCTAGCCAGCTTGGTTCAGTGGATGTCATCGACCTGCAGACTGAAGGGTCACGGATTCAATTCTGGTCAAGGGCATATGTCTGGGTTGCAGACTCAATTCCCAGTAGGGGGTGGGCAGGAGGCAGCCAATCAATGATTCTCTCTCATCATTTATGTTTTCATCTCACTCTCCCTCTCCTTTCCTCTCTAAAATCAATTTTAAAAATATTTTTTAAATAAAGTGTTTATTTTTACTTCACAAGGCTTATATTCACTATCCCAAAGACAGTAGTTTACAAACCCAATAAAAAAATATTACTTTCTTATATTGTTCTATTCTCACATCTTCTGAAAAAAATTTTTCCTAGATCTACAATTTTAAAGATTGTTTTTAGTTATTTTTATTAAGGTAAAAGTAAAGGAGAATGCAAATATCTTAACATGAAGAGATAAGTATTTAAAAGTATGAACCAAAATATTTAAGGTGCTCTTCAAAACAGTTGGGGGAATGGGGAATAGCAACTTTATTTTTTTTTAAGTTTTTTTAAAAATATATTTTATTGATTTTTCACAGAGAGGAAGAGAGAGGGATAGAGAGTAGAAACATTGATGAGAGAGAGTCATCTACCAGCTGCCTCTTGCACACCCCCTACTGGGGATGTGCCCGCAACCAAGGTACATGCCCTTGACCGGAATCGAACCTGGGACCTTTCAGTCCGCAGACCGACACTCTACCACTGAGCCAAACCGGTGCCGGCAGGAAATAGCAACTTTAACCATCTTTTAGAAAAATTTTTATCCTAGAATTCTATATTGCCCCTCAATTCCTTTGACTGAAACTAACGAAAGTAAGAATGGGCAACTCTTAAGCCTTGTGACTCTGTTAATAAAAGAGAAACAAGAAAAGAAAGATGGTAACTTACGAGTCAGAGGTGACTCGGTCCTGGAACGAATCTGCTGGGATCCAGTTTGATCCTTTCAGAAATATGGGCAGTCCATTAATTTTGAAGTAGAAACTCAGACCAGAAGAACCTTCTATGGGCTCTTGTATCAGTTCCACTGTCCTAAAAAAGACCTATTATGAACAGAATTAAATACAAAACATATATTGTAATCTTTTTCATAAAATAGAGTTTTGTGATTATAACAAAAGAAATTTATTCGAAGATAACATTTCAAAATTAAAACAAAAACTGATCCTATTTCACAAAGTTGTGAGGGAAGTGGGAATGGGAGTATGGAGAAATGTCCACCAGTTTAACACATCTTTGGAAAACACATTCTCATTTCAGTATTGTTAAAATATGTTGATATGTACACTTCAAAATCAAAGAAACAGAGCACAAGGTATTTAATAACTTGACATCTTTCCAATTACAATAGCATATTATTGATTAAGGTCACTTTGTTTAATAGGCAATTTAATCCAAGCTAATTATCGCATTAAACTCAGTGTGTGAGAGAGCTCTGGAATGGAACTGGAGATGTAAGCCGTGTTCCAATTTAAAGACTGGAGAGGAGCACATACCCCAATATCATCACTGCTACAGGAGAGGAAGCTGAGGCCTCTGTCCCTGTGAAAAACCTAGCCTGGTTCCCTCATCAGCATGAGCAAGCAAGACCCTAGGTAGAGCAGATTGATGTTCTTATCCAAATCTTCATTCTTTCCCATCATAAACTAGACCAAGGAATGAGGAACATGGTTCTACAACAGCAAAGGCAAGCCCTGAACCAAGATTATGCATTTCTTCTTGAATTAAAAATATAGATGAATTAACCAATGTATTCCATGTCATAAGCGTCCACCATTCTCCCATTTTCTTGCCCTTGCCCTTATTCATACAGCCTGGTGAAATGTCTCAGAGCTGTGTTATGAGAAGACACAGAATAAGGCTTAGATGAGAAGGACTCGATATGGAATGACCACACCTGCTTCGGTATTGCAAAATGTAAAACATGTCCAGTGACTTTCAGAGGTAACTCAGAACACCTTTAAGGATTCATACATGTGGAATAGGGATTCTTTAAGTGTGGCTGAGGTACAATGGAGGATCCCTGAGAATCTTTCTGCGTTTGGGGAAGTGAGGGAGGCCTTAAGTCCAAAACTATTTTCACAGTAAAGATAAAACATTTGCTTTTTCACTCTCCCTCTTTTGAGTGTACAGTGGAATTTTCCAGAAGTTACATAATGTGTGATGACATCATCACTCTGATAGCTAATAGAATATGTGCTTGTATATCCTGGTATGTTCTAGTTTCACAGTTGAGATTTAGGGTATGAAAAGATGCATGTTGGAGATTAACTCAGTACTTCTGTGCTCTTACTAGCTGCCTCTGGCTACTCCTGCTGCAATATCTGCAACTGCATTACCGTTCAATAAATTATGATTTTTAACCCCAAAGCTTTCCTTGTAACCTATACAGAAACACAGAAAGACTAGGTACCTTTTACCTTGTTTCACAATAATATTTTTAAGATTTCAAATAAAAATATATTTTAATATTAATTAAAACTCATTTTGAGTTTAATAAATTTTATCTCAGTCTAAAGGAAAATTTAAAATATGCTTTTTCCCAATTTAAGGATGAACTGTTGTCATAAAATGAGATAATAAGACTGAGATTTCAACCTACAGTCACACTGTCTACATCTAAAAATGCTGAAGCAGAACCAAACTGACATATCAGAGAATCCACTTCATTGAATATAATTTTATATAATGAAATGTTTCAACATTTGGAACTCTTAGAACACCATTTTTCAAGTAACCAAAGCATTATATTACAATATCACACATGAATAAAAGGTCCCTTAAGGGTGCATGTTATACCAATTGAATTTAATGTAACAGAGTAAAAAGAGTTCGTTAAAATGGCTTCAGATTCCACAAGCATCTAGTCTTTAAAAAACCACCACTTGTTAAATTCTAGTGTAGTACCAAAGAATCTCCACAGGAAAGTCAAGCTGTTTGAAAAGGCTGCTCCTCTCTTTTCCAACTACATACTATCTGTGTCAAGTCAGATTTTCTTCATGTTTCAGTGAAAGCAACATACTGCAAATTGAATGCAGACAGATAAGAATCCAGATGTCATCTATTAAGCAAAAGATTTGCAAACATGTCACAGATAAGAATCCAGATGTTATCTATTAAGCAAAAGATTTGCAAACATGTAAGACAATGTCATTATTCCCACTAAGTGTTTTATTTTGTAGATATATTTATATAAAATAACTCATAGAATAAGATGTGATAGTTTTTTTTACCATAATTTGAAATGAATAAATATTTACTTCTAAGTTTTAACATTTGCATAAACAAAAGCACTTTGGGTTCTTAATAATTTTTTACAAATGTAAAGTGGTCTTGATTCCAAAAGAATTTGAGAATCACTAATCTAGAAGATAGAACCCTTTAAATTTTTTTATGAATGCTATACATAATATTACTAGTAAAGCACATTTTCCAACATGTTTTTTCTTTCTTTTCTGTGCAAATATTCTCATGTAAAGACAGCTATTTCTGTCTCCCAACTCTTGCAATAACAGTTTTATAACCCAGGTCAAAGTAAACCCTAAACCACTTGACACTGCCTCAAAGAAGAGGCAATAATTTACTTGGTAGCTAAAAGATGTTGGGTCTATGACTAGTGTCAGTAATTCTCCATATCCCTAGGCATTTTTGAGAGATAACATAAAAGCCTTTCTCTAAAACAGGTATTTTACTTCTGAGAAAATAATGGGCTCTCAAAGAGGATTTTTTAAAAGACCCTCAAGTAACACATATTTACATCCAAACTGAATATATTGTCTTTTTATAAGATTAGAAATAGTTTAAATAGCCCAACAAAATATATTAGTGTCTAAAAGGAAATATCTAAGAACCTAAATATGTAAGAACCTAAATATGTAAGTCAAGCAGTTTGAATTTTAAGTTTTTTAATTTCCAAATTTTTCTATTGTTGGAGGTTTTAATTGCAATTCACTAGGGTTTTCTAATTGACTTTATGATTTCATTTTTAAAATAGAAGAATTAACTTTGAAAGTACAGGATAGCTGAATGAACTTTTCAGACAAGAGTTAGGAGTTCCTTAACTAAAAGGTTTAAGAAGTGTGTGACTAGCCAGGCCAATGTGGCTCAGTGAAATAAAAAGCATGGGCCGCCGAAACTGGTTTGGCTCAATGGATAGAGCGTCGGCTTGGGGACTGAAGGGTCCCAGGTTCGATTCCAGTTAAGGACATGTACCTTGGTTGCGGGCATATCCCCAGTAAGGGGTGTGGAAGAGGCAGCTGATCGATGACTCTCTCTCATCAATGTTTCTGACTATCTCTCTCCCTTCCTCTCTATACAAAATCAATAAAATATATTTTTAAAAAAGCATGGGCCTCCAACCAAGAATACCCTACCCAATAAGATTAACATTACTAACATTTAAAATTGAAGGAAAATAAAGAGATTCTTAGACAAAAAAAAAAAATTGCTCAGTTCATCACCACCAAACTAGTATTATAAGAATTGTTAAAGAAACTTCTTTAAGAAGAAGAAAAGAAAAAAAGAGGAACATAAATATGTATAACAAAATGGTAATAAATACATACCCATCAATAATAATTTTTAACATTAGCTAAGTGAAAAAGACATAGGATAGCTGAATGAATGAGAAAACAAGATCCACTATGTTCTGTCTACAAGAGACCCACTTCAAATCAAAAGACCACAGAGCAAGTCTCAATAAGTTTAGGAAGATTAAAATCTCATCAGGCATCTTCTTTGACCATAATGGTATGAAACTAGAAATCAATTAAAAGAATAAAACTGAAAAAAACACCAACACATGGAGGCTAAGTAACATGTTACTAAACAATTAATGGGTTAAAATGAGATCAGGGAAGAAATCAAGACACCTTGAGACAAAAGAAAATGAAAACACAGTACAAAATCTATGGGACACAGTGAACGCAGTCCTAAAAGGGCAATTCATAGCAATACATGTCTACCTAAAGAAAAAAGAAAAATCTCAGATAAATAATCTAAATATATTCCTAAAGAACAAAAATCAAAGCCCAAAGTGAGTAGAAGGAAGGAAATAATAAAGATCAGAGCATAAATAAATGAAATAGAGTCTAATAAACAATACAAAATGTCAATGAAACCAAGAGCTGTTTCTTTGAAAAGAGAATCAAAATTGATAAACCTTTAACCAGACTCAACAAGAAAAAGAGGACCCAAGTAAATGAAATCAGAAATGAGGAGAGAAAAATAACAACTGACACCACAGAAATACAAAAAAAATTGTAAGAAAATATTACAAACAACTACATGCCAAAAAATTGAACAACAACTAATGAAATAACACCACTTTGGAAGCAGTTCAGCATTCTCTTTAAAGACGGAAGTTATGTACATCCTATGATTCAGCAATCCCACTTACAGCAGAAATGCTGTATGTACTCAGAGCACCGTGTCATGAATGCTCATACCAACAATACTCAGAATAGCCAAGACTGGAAACTATCCAAATTGCAATAGCAGTATGTGCAATGCAAGAAAATATTACACAACAGTGTAAATAAACATGGAACAGCTATACACAATAACATATTAAATGTCACAAATATAATGTGGAGCCAAATTGTCCAGACACAAAGTAATTCGTACTACATGGTTCCACATATGTAAAGTTTAAAAACAGGCAGAAAGAAGCTGCAGTGTTAAAAGTCAGGGGAATGGATATCTAGGAGGGAGAAGGGGTTAGAGGGCTACTGAGGTTCTGGTAATGCCTTATTTCTTGATCAGGATGATGGTTACATGAGTGGTCATTTTGTCATCATTCATTAAGCATTTCTCCACATTCTGTACTTTTCTGTATATGTGATATACTTCACAATAAATAAAAAAGAAACCCAAGTCTGACACATTCCCAACAAATAAAGGCTTGAAAGAAATAAGACTAAGGGCCAGGACACAGATAATAATGGCAAGTAGCAGTCAAATTTCTTACTTGCTAAAACAGTGGCAAGTCTGAAATCATCTGAACACCCACAAATTTAGGACTGGTAAGAAACTGAATTCCCTC